CTTGCTGGGTGAGTTCTCTTCTCCCAGTGCTGCGAAGCGGTTGCTGGGGTCACCCCCACCACTGTTGGAGCTGCCACCTCCATTGCTGGAGCTGCCACCCTTCCCAGTTCCGTTGCGGGTGGCGCCAGCGTAGCCTCTAGAGCTGGGAGAAGCGTCACCGGTGGCAAGCCGCTGGGGCTGTTTACCGTTGGTGGACGGTTTCTTGACAGACTGCTGTGTAGACTGCAGCGGAGGACTGGGTTTGGGGTTGTGCGAGGGGGTCTTAAGAGCGCCGTTACCGGCGTCCGTGCCTGCCTGCGAGTTCGAGCCGGCTTTGTTGTCTCTCTTGTTCTTGTTGCCCATGTTGAAAAATGGGTAAAACAACAGGAACAGACACGCAGAAACCGCTCTTCGTCGAAGCCAATATGAATACCCTCAACTCAGTGTGAGCGGAGGTCCCAAAATGGCGAGGTGGTATATGCCTACCACCGAAGGCTGGCTGATTTCCTTTGGTGCAATGTGACGAGGAATGTCAAGCGGTGGTTGAGCATACTCAGCCAAGGCCAGGGTAAGGTTGCGAGTGGGCGCCGGCTGAGACCCTTCCTGGGTTCTCGGTACCAACCATAAAGATCCATCCCGACTCAGGTCGGGGTGAATAACCCACAAAGTAAAGATCCAGAGCAGAGCGATGAATTATCGTCTGTCGGATGTTTTTCACTCCCTTTGTATGTGCGTGTGTAAGTATAAGAAGATACGAATATCCTGGCCTCCACACTTGCTGCAAACACGTCAAACTGTGTGCGTCACCATCTGTTGCACGCAAGAGCAATGCTACGGTAGGGGGGACACTTTTTGAGACATGGGTCACATGCTGCGGTCGCCCGACAAGGTCCATATAAATGCTCGTAACTCCCTCAATTGTTGCGTTTCAAGGAAATCAATTCTGCCCAGGCAGCCGCCTGGCGTATATCTCGCAGTGTGCAAAACAAAAAGCATTTTTTTCATTGGTTGAGGCAGTACACACCAGTCCGCCAAAACACTCCATGTGACCGAGGGGATAACCCCTATCGCAGCATCCCTCGAAGATGAAAAAATGCTCCGGGGTGGGTGCGTGATCGTGACACAAATTACAGGTGCTAGGTTCAGGTGTAGGCAAGTGTGCCATATCGTACAGTCTACCTGCTTTGCAGCAGTACAAAAGATGGGACCACGTACGTATACCCATAACACTGATGTTGTTAGCAAAGATGTCGTGGACAAGGCCTACTAAGTACACAAGAGAGAGAGAAACAGAGAATGCCCGAGCATACACTACACCAACACGAAGATCAGAACAAGGCACAACCATAACGGAAGGAGAGGCTAGGGATAGGGGCGGGTCCAATGTCTATGTGGGTCTGTGTGGTGTCTAGCCATTCAAGTGGCAGGACCCTGGGTGTCGAGAGGAATTGTCCAGAGCGGAATGTACATCGGACCCCAGCATACAAGCACTGCTACCGACCTGATGGTAGCTGCCTCTCGATCGGTACCGAGTTCGGTAGATGAGCCGGAACAGCGGTAGTATGAGCCTCGAAGGTGGCTCGTGAGAAGGAGTAGAAGGTCTCCGGTCGTGGATACGATATTCGCTTGTTGATTATTGCTAACTCAGGGCAAGCAAGGAGAAAAGGAGTGAAGTGAAGGCAAGGGGACTGAGCAACCTAGCCCCTAGACGGGCCCCGGCAAACCGGACCTTATTGCTAGTACTCGCTGGGAGTAACGCACTCTCCCAAAGATGCACCTCCTATCAACCGTAACAATGTAACCGTAACATCCCCCCACTAGCATGAACAGCTAAGGTACAGTTTTCCTGGACCCGTCCACTGGCCACTTGATGAATTCTCTCTAGGGCCTGGTTATTTACCCAACAAAATATATACCATTCGAAAGCTATGAACCAGGGCTTTCGAATGAACCCACTTTTAGCTTTCACAGATACCTTGGTGACGAGTTATGCCGAATATACCGTTTCACCAAAAACGCGGCGGGACCGGTAAATTACGATTTGTCGTGCCCCCACCACCGCTGTGAAAAAAAAAGTATATATTTTTGGAATCCTTGAAACAAACTGGTTCTAAATCACCTGGTTCAGAACTCTTTTTTGCCAGGCCCTAGACAGAAAGAAACCAAGTTTCAAATTTCGCGGCCGAACCACCGCTTGGGCCGCGTCGCACACAGCCGCCGGTAGGTGTACACATGTTGTTGTGAAGACCGGCAACCAAATGGAACTCGACCAAGAGAGGGTCTCCTGCCTGCAGCAGTTGGTTCCCGACGGATACACGCTGCGCGACAAGCTCAGCATCGAGAGACAGAAGCCACGAAAGTATCGGTTAGTGCTGCACTCAAGGTCGCGAGCCAACAATACTGAGTTGAAATGGCGGAGCCGCTGGATCACGTCTGGGAAGCCACGCGGCCACGACGCCGTCGCGGAGGGAATNTGCGCCAGCCGTTGGTTCACTACAACCCGGTCTCGCAGGCGCGCAAAGATCGCGAGATCCAAATTGGGGTGGACAACGGGACTACAGTGGGCGGCCTTTTGGAAAGTTGGGGAGGGCGGCCCGGCGGATGCGTGCGTTGGCACTTCGGCAGGAACTAGAGGAGGCCGTTCCTGGGGCATTCAACCTCTCTGCAAGCAGTCTGGAAGAAGTCGTGCGGGCGTGGATAGAGTTCGAACCCGAGTGGGCCGAAGAGGCGAAGAGGAGATACCTGAACAAGGGCACGTACAGCACATCTCAAGCTGCAAAGAAGATTAGGCGTGCGAAAGGGGCGGAGATGAAAGCTCGGGTGCTGGCGGCAGCGGCGGACGAGTTTCGCGCTGAGAGCATCGAGCTCCTCGACGGCGTTGTGAGTGATGTGGCGAAGACGATCAGCGCAGCCGCGGAGATGAACGATGTGAGGGCAGTAGTCTACACAGTCTAAATTAAGTGTGATCCTCTTTTTTCTTCACGCATGCCGTGCTCGAACCTGGGGGCTCTGAGGTCTGTAATAATCTACACTGCTGTAAATTCATCTCAAGACATTATTATTAATATATCGTGGCGGGGTTTCTCGGGCGGCACCAATCTGCAACCTCCGCCGTCGGAGTTTGACCAACCTGCACGTACTTCGCACCCGCTCTGCAAATTAATTTGCCTGCACTCAACCTTGAAAAATTACACTTGAAATACTGCTGTCAAACAAATTGGCCACTGAAAGTTAAAGGTTTATTGCCACCCTCGACACCCCCCCTTCGCGCAGGATACAAGCACGGAAGACAGCTGTTTGTCCAACTCTCAGCTAGCGCACACGGTGTAAGTGACCATGACATTGATCCAGTTGTACACCCAGCAGGCCGACGGCTTCGACCGGAAGGATGCACTGGCCATCGCAGCAGAGGTTGGACGGAGAACCGTTCAAACAGTACAGCAGTGGGAGCGGGATTTCATCGCCCACGGACGCATAAAAAAACCTGACACAGGTCGCTTCAAGCGCAGGTTTTTGCTGGAGCTCGACGAAGGCGTCTTCAAGCTCGCGAAAGGCTGGGTGCTCGAGAACTGCGGGATACTCAGTGGGCAAGCCAATAAAACGGCGGAGGATTTCCGCAAGTGGGTGAACAGCACCATCATGCCGATGCTGGAGGAGCAGGAAAAGGACGGCATCAACGCTTTCCATGGATTGAGAGTAAAGCTGGTGGAAGTGAAGGAGAACGAGCCGCCAAAGCGCCAAATCTCCCTTTCTACGGCAACGGAGTGGCTGAAGAAGATGGGATGCGAATACCACGACGGCAAAAAGGGGCTGTACTTCGATGGCCACGACGACAAGAAGACCCTTGAATATCGGCACGACGAGTTCCTCCCGGCGCTGTTCGACACCCGCGACTACATGGAGGTATGGATTCCGATGGGCAAGGATGAAGCGATCGTCTGGGGTGTTGACGTCGAGACGGTGGATGAGACCGAGCGCTTGCCGGATGGTGGTGTTTGCGTTTGTGTCGATAATCTCGAGTCTGCGCTGGCAGACTTGCCCGAAGACCTGCAAGCCAGAGTGCAGAGCAAGAAAACCTACCCTGACGGGAGGCGGGCCATGCTTCTCTACCAGGACGAGAGCATATTTCGAGTTTAGTTTTCAACGGAGCAAAGCGGGTTCGATAATTTAGGTGTAAATTCCGGGCGCGAACAGTAATCTTGCTCGCAATTCAATTGTGGGACTTTAAATTTAATCACACATGTTGACAGCGCCACATCTGCCGCCCCTAAATTGTCGGTTTCTTGTTTGTATTTGCAGCCAACGACGACCAGAGGCGCGCGTGGTATCGGGACGGCCAGCATGTGCCCGTGAAGAAGTCACAAGGCCAGGGGATCATGGTGTCGGGGACGATAATCCACAACGTTGGCTTCTTCTCGGCGTCGCGGGCACAGATCCAGGACGCGGAGCGCAACCGCAGGAAACGATGCGCCGCCTCAGCTGCNCGTAGCCAACGACGACCACAGGCGCGCGTGGTATCGGGACGGCCAGCATGTGCCCGTGAAGAAGTCACAAGGCCAGGGGATCATGGTGTCGGGGACGATAATCCACAACGTTGGCTTCTTCTCGGCGTCGCGGGCACAGATCCAGGACGCGGAGCGCAACCGCAGGAAACGATGCGCCGCCTCAGCTGCCGCGAAGCGACGGGGGGAAAACGTGAAGGTGGAGAAGTTCCGCCCCATCGACATGCTTCATGAAGACGAGCATGGACAGTACTGGTCCTACCACCTCTTCGAGTACGGCAAGAACAAGGAGGGATACTGGACCGGGCTCAGGATGCTGGACCACATGTCAGACGTGCTCGACATATACACAGTTCTCTACCCTGAGCACAAGCCTATAGGCCTGTTCGACTGGTCGTCCTGCCATGACTGCATGGAGGTCGGCGCACGGTCGGTGAAGAGAATGAACTTGGGTGTCGGTGGTGTGAGGAACGGCGAAGAGCTTGCGCCGATGGACCCCGTGACCATCCTCGAAGATACCCCGAACCTCCCAGCCGGCACGGTACAGCACTTGGTGTTTCGGAGGGGGGACGATCCCCCCTTCCACTCCCCGCATCTCAAGCCGGCGCAATATGTCGGAAAGTTGAANACTTGGGTGTCGGTGGTGTGAGGAACGGAGAAGAGCTTGCGCCGATGGACCCCGTGACCATCCTCGAAGATACCCCGAACCTCCCAGCCGGCACGGTACAGCACTTGGTGTTTCGGAGGGGGGACGATCCCCCCTTCCACTCCCCGCATCTCAAGCCGGCGCAATATGTCGGAAAGGTGAAAGGAATTCGGCGGATTTTGTGGGAGAGGGGGCTCCTGGTCAAAGGCATGAGTAAGACGGGGGGCTCGGGCGAAAAGCAGGACCTCAGCAAGAGCATGGAGCACGTTTTGGGAGAGCAGAAGGACTTCAAGGAAGTTGATTCTAGTCTGGTGCTGTTGATGCAGCGCCACGGGGGGGCCTGTCTCATGCTCTCTAAGTACCACTGCGAGTGTAACCCCATCGAGCTTGTTTGGGGCCGAGCGAAGGACTGGACTCGAAAGAACTGCAAATATTCGTTGGAATGCTTGCGCAAGAACGTGCCGCTGAGTTTTAGACCAGAGAAGGATAGACAGGCTGTTTCGGTAGTCCAGGGCTACTGCAAGAAGGCGTACACACACGCCCTCATGTACCGCGAGACGCGTGTGCAAGGGCCTGAGGGTAAGAAGACGTACAAGAAGTACAAGTCGCACAGGCGCCCGACCCCGAAGGAATGGAGGCCGTAGAGTCGATGGCGCATTCTTGTTCATTGAGCTGTATTTGTTCAGTTTTTTTCCGTGTTTCTGGTGGGAATGTTGTACAAAAATGGAACACTTTCGTTGAAAACGGCCAATTATTGTGATGTATGTACGCTACAGGTGCGGTAGAGGCATTTGCATAGTGTTTGAGGGCGTTCCTGTGCACGTGTGGGTGGTTTGGTGCGAAAAAAAATAAAAGGATTAGCAACATATATGGGGGAAAAGTTGCTCTAGGGCCAATTTCGTGGGTTCGAGACCCGCCGCGAGCATCTTTTTTCTTTTTTTTTTCTTTTTTTCCTTTTTGATTTGGCGACTCGCTACTCTTTTGCGCCTTGCCGCGGGCGTTCCGAAGCTGTTTTTCTTTTTCTTTTACTCGCTCTCAGTCAAAAGTTAAAAAAATCGGTCCTTGAAAATTACCACTTTATAACAACATATTGGTGTAGAGCGAAGCATGAAATTGAGAGCGAGAGCCAAAAAAATTGAAATTCGGGTCCAGACGCCTCTTGCCATTTCTTGGGAAGTAGGGCGCGGGCTCTTCCAAGAAGCGGCGCATATTGAAGGTCTCATCGTCTCATCAGCAGCGTCACGAGCATATGCGTGTCATCGTCATCGGATGCTGCAGCTAGGAGCTAGACAAGTTGCTAGATATCCCCAGATTGGCTATTCCTGCCTCAAACTGTTGCAGGGCGGTTTGGCCTCTGGCGGTGGGGCTATGCTGTAGTTTCTACTCGCCGCTGTAACTCCACATCGAGAGACTCCCACAGGATGACCAGGGTATCTGCTTGTAGCTACGGGCTGGCCCTTCAATTCAAGCTACACAGCAAGCTCCACCTCTCAGTGGTAGTCCAGCTGCAGCGCATCGCGCAATCTCGCTCTCAATCAGATGCTCCGCTCTCAATTTGACCAATATGCTGTTCTATTTGTCAGCTGTCACATGCTAATCAACGGTAGCAGGAAATGTGTAAACCGCAAAGTGACACACTTTGCTTTTGGAATACTACCATGCAAAATGAACAGCTATTTGTCAGCTGTCACATGCTAATCAACGGTAGCAGGAAATGTGTAAACCGCAAAGTGACACACTTTGCTTTTGGAATACTACCATGCAAAATGAACAGCTATTTGTCAGCTGTCACATGCTAATCAACGGTAGCAGGAAATGTGTAAACCGCAAAGTGACACACTTTGCTTTTGGAATACTACCATGCAAAATGAACAGCTATTTGTCAGCTGTCACATGCTAATCAACGGTAGCAGGAAATGTGTAAACCGCAAAGTGACACACTTTGCTTTTGGAATACTACCATGCAAAATGAACAGCTATTTGTCAGCTGTCACATGCTAATCAACGGTAGCAGGAAATAAATGTGTAAACCGCAAAGTGACACACTTGCTTTTGGAATACTACCATCCAATGCCTTTGAGTGGGCTGAACGTTCAACCAAAAATTACAAGAGGTGAAGAGTGGCATACCCAAATTAAATCCACTCCTCTTCATAATTAATTCTCACTGCGCGTTGAACCACGGCCCGACATCGACCTGCGCGAAGGAAAACCCGGCCTCCGGGAAAACCCTTCGCTTGTCCGTGGGTTGCGAACATTGGTGTTGGATAAATGTGCTGTATAATTTGGGTCACGCAGAATGGTATGATTGCCGTTTGGTAGGGGGCACCGCGATGATTCACGGGGCCCCTCCTTGCTGTGGGAGCCGCTCTTTGAGAACTCCCTCTTTGTCCGTGTGAAAGACGGTCGTCGACTTCTCGTGTAGTTAATACATCACCAAAACAGCTTCACCCGATAAATAAGTGGCGTAGGCCGCAAACACTCTAGAGTTTGCCCCTCGNGTCCGTGTGAAAGACGGTCGTCGACTTCTCGTGTAGTTAATACATCACCAAAACAGCTTCACCCGATAAATAAGTGGCGTAGGCCGCAAACACTCTAGAGTTTGCCCCTCGAGGGAAGCCTCATCGGGATGAGCTCCGCTGGAGACAAAGCGTGCACTGCTGCGAGCGGAGAACAGATCCGCCCGCCGGTGCAGGAGGGCCGCGATGCGAAGATTGCAAGTTTGCAACTGCAGATTTCGCAATTGGCGGCCCTGGTGGAGGAGTTGGTGAAGAAGAAGGAGCCTGGCAGCGTCGTGGCGGATGCAGGCAGTAGGGGCGGCTGGGTTGCTTCCCCGAAAGCCAAGAGCCCCTGCAGCCGCACGGCGGAGGCGGGGGATTTCGCCAGCAGCAAGCGAGAGATAGTGGGCAAGGACCACGGCAGCTTCTGGAAGGCGGATGGACCAGCAGATCGGGAGCGAACCCTGTTGGACCAGCCGGAGTGGGCCCGGGCATAGGACCGGACTACGGGGAGGCGAGGGGGTTAAACTCCCCACGTGAGATACCCGTGATTCGAGGAAATGGAGAATTCCTCGACGGCTACAGCAGTCGCCACATGAAGAGAGTAACAGTAAATGCCCCGCGTCTCGAAGGGGAGAGTCGCGGCCATGGGTATGACTCGTGNTCCCCACGTGAGATACCCGTGATTCGAGGAAATGGAGAATTCCTCGACGGCTACAGCAGTAGCCACATGAAGAGAGTAACAGTAAATGCCCCGCGTCTCGAAGGGGAGAGTCGCGGCCATGGGTATGACTCGTGGAGAAAATCGCTTATCCAAGCGGCCAAGACTGCAGGACTGGACGGCCAATTGATCGGCAACAACGAGAGACATGCACCTGTCGGCAACCCAAACGTGCCAAGCTCAGAGCTGTACCGCCTCCAATACACCAGCGACGAGGTCCAGAGTGGCTTCCAAGCGTTCCATTTCGTGACCACTGCCATCGTCAGAGCAGCCGACAAGGCGATCGTGAGCAAATGCGAGACCGCAAAGGAGATCCTCGCGGAACTCGACAAAGTCTACAATCCGGGATCACAGGGCTCGAAACAAACCCTCACGAAGCAAATGTTCAACTTCACGATCCCCACACACAGCACCAGAAACCCCGTCGAGCACCTGCACTCGCTCGAGCTGCTGTACTCACGCCTACGCGAAAAAGGGCTAATCGCTGACGCACCCTTTTACTCGCCCACTTCGTTGGTTCCCTCCCACCCGAGTACCAACAAGCGAAGTTCCTGTTGGAGACAGCAACGGCGCTGGATAGGGCCGAGATCGTCAGGATCGTGAGCACGGTGCACGCGAGCCTCCCGGAGNCTGTTGGAGACAGCAACGGCGCTGGATAGGGTCGAGATCGTCAGAATCGTGAGCACGGTGCACGCGAGCCTTCCAGAGGGGAGCAAGGCCTCGAAGGGACAGCGGAGGGCGGAGCACGCTCTGCTCGTGAGCGACGGTAGCGGTGGGGGAGGAGCGCCGGGCCGCGACAACGGCGGCCGCCGCAAGGGTCGCGGCGGCGGCGGCGGCGGCGGCGGCGGCGGCGGCAACCAGAAGGGGAGAGGGGGAGGCGCGAAGGCTGGTGGCGGCGGCGGAGGCGGCGACGACGATGCGGGTAGCATGCGCGGTCGCTGTTTCCGGTGCGGCAAGAAGAGCCACCAGGTGGCCGACTGCACCGAGAGCAAGCCCGTGCGATGTGAAACATGCAAGGGCTACGGGCACGACAGGAGCAAGTTCCCGACCGACGAGGCGGTGCTCGTGGTGGAAGTGCCGGCGGGGGGGGCGCCTGCGGACGCCACAGCACTGGACGTGGCAGAAGAGGCGCTGGTGGTCGGTGGCATCTCAGGCGAGTGTCACAAAGTCGTTGGTCGAGGGGGTGTAGAGCAGGCTAGGCGGGGTAGGTATGTTGCCGATACCGGCGCTACCACCCACATGTTCGCGAACTCAGATGGGTTCGTTCGATATCAGGAGTGTGATCGACGTGTGCGCGTCGCCACCGGAGAAACCTTCCCTATCGTAGGGTATGGCGACGTGACGGTAACCCTTAGCTCGCGCGACGGTACAANNTGCGCGTCGCCCCCGGATAAACCTTCCCTATCGTAGGGTACGGCGACGTGACGGTAACCCTTAGCTCGCGCGACGGTACAACCGACCTGTTGTTGAAACGGGTTGCACACGTCCCCCGACTAGACTACAACCTAGTATCTCTCACTTCCCTCTTCGACGACGGGTTCGAAACCAAAACCCTCAACAAACACGAGTTGGAGTTGGAGAGAGGGGGGGGGGAGTTGGTGTACGTCCCCCGATGCGGTAACCTGTACGTCCAAAACGGTTTCTGCACTCACACCGAACACGCCTGTGCCGCAATTGCTCCTGGCAACGCGAAAGCGTCCAGCAC